GAGTTGAGAGACTTGACTCGAACTTGAGAACTAATCCACTAATTCATTTGAGTTATTCGAGTTCTATTTTACAATTCGACTCAAATTAAAAATATTTATGAGTCAAATCGAGTTTATAGAATTAAAAGTCAAGTACTTTAACATTGAATAGAGTCCAATTTTTTTTTAAATCGAGTCAAATTTTACTAATAAAATGATTGAGACCAGCAATATGTTTGTGTGTTAGCTTTTAGGGAGCATTGCAAAAGTATGTAAGGCCTGTCCCAGGTCATAGGGGTAGTTCTGCGGTGCGGCGCCTAAAAAACGGCTAATATACGGCGTGACCGGTAAAATAAGTGACCGGTTAAAATTTAGACCGGTTATGTTATATTATTTAACCGAAAATATTATAAAGTACAATAACATACTAGGTAGCGCTTATATAATGTAATAGGTAGGTTTATATTTACCTATTTTATAAGTAAACCGGTATATTTATACTGATAGCATTGCAAATTTACCTATTACATTATAATATGTTGAAAGTGTCCATACTTTTTATAAAAAGGATCGATAATTTTTTTAAAGTTATGTAATTTATGTTCAATTTTTTTAATAGTGTTCATGTTTTTCACCTACAATATTAATTTAATAATTTCATTTGCACAAAAAATTATTTGATTGTTTTGATATTTTATAAAATAATATTTAGAATTTAAATTTAACAATATTAACCAAAGATAATAATAAATGTAATATATTTTTATTATTTTAATTTAATAATAATATATCGTAACGTAAAAAATAAATCATTAGACGCCTATAATTACTAAATTAATATCTTAAAACTCACTCAAAAGATAACCTTAAATTAATGTTTTCCACAATGAAAAAAGTATGGACACTTTTATAAAAGGATAGACACTTTACAACTACCTATTACATTATATAAACGATACCTATTACATTATATAAGTGCTACCTATTACATCATATTTTTACCTATTATATTGAAAGTGTCCATACTTTTATAAAAAGGATCGACGCTTTTTTTAAAGTTAAGTAATTTATGTTTCAATTTTTTTTAATAGTGTTTTATGTTTTCCACCTACAATATTAATTTAATAATTCATTTACAAAAATTATTTGATTGTTTTGATATTTTATAAAATAATATTTAGAATTTAAATTTAACAATATTAACCAAAGATAATAATAAATATGTAATATATGTTTATTGTTTTTAATTTAATAATAATATATCGTAATGTAAAAAATAAATCATTAGACGCCTATAATTACTAAATTAATATCTTAAAACTCACTCAAAAGATAACCTTAAATTAATGTTTTCTACAGTGAAAAAAGTATGGACATTTTATAAAAAGGATAGATACTTTACAATACCTATTACATTATATAAACGATACCTATTACATTATATAAGCGCTACCTATTACATCTATTTTTACCTATTATATTGAAAGTGTCCATACTTTTTATAAAAAAGGATCGACACTTTTTTTTAAAGTTATGTAATTTATGTTTTAATTTTTTTTAATAGTGTTTTATGTTTTCCACCTACAATATTAATTTAATAATTTCATTTACACAAAAATTATTGATTGTTTTGATATTTTATAAAATAATATTTAGAATTTAAATTTAACAATATTAACCAAAGATAATAATAATATGTAATATATGTTTATTGTTTTTAATTTAATAATAATATATATCGTAACGTAAAAAATAATCATTAGACGCCTATAATTACTAAATTAATATCTTAAAACTCACTCAAAAGATAACCTTAAATTAATGTTTTCCACAATGAAAAAAGTATGGACACTTTTATAAAAAGGATAGACACTTACAACTACCTATTACATTATATAAACGATACCTATTACATTATATAAGCGCTACCTATTACATCATATTTTACCTATTATATTGAAAGTGTCCATACTTTTTATAAAATGATCGACACTTTTTTTAAAGTTATGTAATTTATGTTTTAATTTTTTTAATAGTGTTTTATGTTTCCACCTACAATATTAATTTAATAATTTCATTTACACAAAAAATTATTTGATTGTTTTGATATTTTATAAAATAATATTTAGAATTTAAATTTAACAATATTAACCAAAGATAATAATAAATATGTAATATATGTTTATTGTTTTTAATTTAATAATAATATATCGTAACGTAAAAAATAAATCATTAGACGCCTATAATTACTAAATTAATATCTTAAACTCACTCAAAAGATAACCTTAAATTAATGTTTTCCACAATGAAAAAAGTATGGACACTTTTATAAAAAGGATAGACACTTTACAACTACCTATTACATATAAACGATACCTATTACATTATATAAGCGCTACCTATTACATCATATTTTTACCTATTATATTGAAAGTGTCCATACTTTTTATAAAAAGGATCGACACTTTTTTTTAAAGTTATGTAATTTATGTTTCAATTTTTTTTAATAGTGTTTTATGTTTTCCACCTACAATATTAATTTAATAATTTCATTTACACAAAAAATTATTTGATTGTTTTGATTTTATAAAAATATTTAGAATTTAAATTTAACAATATTAACCAAAGATAATAATAAATATGTATATATGTTTATTGTTTTTAATTTAATAATAATATATATCGTAACGTAAAAAATAAATCATTAGACGCCTATAATTACTAAATTAATATCTTAAAACTCACTCAAAAGATAACCTTAAATTAATGTTTTCCACAATGAAAAAAGTATGGACACTTTTATAAAAAGGATAGACACTTTACAACTACCTATTACATTATATAAGCGATACCTATTACATTATATAAGCGCTACCTATTACATCATATTTTTACCTATTATATTGAAAGTGTCCATACTTTTTATAAAAAGGATCGACACTTTTTTTTAAAGTTATGTAATTTATGTTTCAATTTTTTTTAATAGTGTTTTATGTTTTCCACCTACAATATTAATTTAATAATTTCATTTACACAAAAAATTATTTGATTGTTTGATATTTTATAAAATAATATTTAGAATTTAAATTTAACAATATTAACCAAAGATAATAATAAATATGTAATATATATTTATTGTTTTTAATATAATAATATATATCGTAACGTAAAAAATAAATCATTAGACGCATAATTAAATTAATATCTTAAAACTCACTCAAAAGATAACCTTAAATTAATGTTTTCCACAATAAAAAAGTATGGACACTTTTATAAAAAGGATAGATACTTTACAACTACCTATTACATTATATAAACGATACCTATTACATTATATAAGCGCTACCTATTATATCATATTTTACCTATTATATTGAAAGTGTCCATACTTTTATAAAAAGAATCGATACTTTTTTTAAAGTTATGTAATTTATGTTTCAATTTTTTTAATAGTATTTCATGTTTTCCATCTACAATATTAATTAATAATTTCATTTACACAAAAAATTATTTGATTATTTGATATTTATAAAATATTATTTAGAATTTAAATTTAACAATATTAACCAAAGATAATAATAAATATGTTTTCCACAGTGAAATAAGTATGGACCTTTTAAAAATGATATATACTTTTTTTAAAGTTATGTAATTTATGTTTCAAATTTTTAATAGTGTTTCATGTTTTCCACCTACAATATTAATTTAATAATTTCATTTACACAAAAAATTATTTGATTTTTTGATATTTTATAAAATATTATTTAGAATTTAAATTTAACAATATAACCAAAGATAATAATAAATATGTTTTCCACAGTGAAATAAGTATAAACACTTTTATAAAAATGATATATACTTTTTTTTAAAGTTATGTAATTTATGTTTCAATTTTTTTTAATAGTGTTTCATGTTTTCCACCTACAATATTAATTTAATAATTTCATTTACACACAAAATTATTTGATTGTTTTGATATTTTATAAAATATTATTTAGAATTTAAATTTAACAATATTAACCAAAGATAATAATAAATATATTTTCACAGTGAAATAAGTATGGACACTTTTATAAAAAGGATAGATACTTTACAATATAACAAGTAAAAATATGACAAAACCAGATTCATTATGATAAAACCGGTAAAATTTACTTGATATGTTAAAAGTATGGACACTTTTATAAAAAAGATAGATATTTACCGATAACCAAAGTTTACCGGTTACCAAATTTTTTAATAGTTTTTCATATTTTCTACCTAAAGCATTATTAGTTGTCAACATAATAGGTACCGCTAAACCGAATTTATTAAATACATTTTAATGTATCCGGTACTGTCGTATATTAGCCGTGTATTAACCCGCCTTTCCTGAGACAATCCCAGGTCATAGCATTCAAGTTATCTGCCCACAAAGTCTACAGTCTACACCTCTAGAACTCCAGTGTGGTTCTGTAGTATGGCAGCTTAATATACTATTAAGAAAAAAATATTATTAGAAATATTATTATTTTTTAATATTTTCGGTAAAACGTTATTTAAAATATTATTTTTACCGAAAATGTTAATTTCATTATTTAAAAACTGGTACGAAAAAATGACATTTTAGGTAGCGTCTAATATTAACATTTCCGGTAAAAAAATAATGTTTTAGGTAATGCTTTATCGGAAATGTTAAAAAATAATAATATTTATGGTAGCACATCCGTATATTAAAGTTGTTGCACCTGATAGATCCAAAACTCCATGAATCAGTTAATTTGTAGTTTGTAAGCACATGTTTGTTACTTACAATACTATAATTCAGAAAGGAGGAAAATAATTTACAAATTCAATCTTAAAAAACATAAAGCAATTTCCTTGGCTTCCACATCTTGTTGTATAGCTGAATCTTGTTCACACCATTGTTCTACTGCCCCAGCTGTCTCTCTTTGGTTCTTTTTCTTTCTCATTCTCAGCTCTTCTTTTATATTTTAAAGCCCTTCAATCTGCTTCGTAATCATATAGAGCTACCGATTGTGAAGTGAAAGATGGCAATGGGGATATCAAGCTCGCCTGTTACGGATTTTGATTTCAGCAGTGCTCCATCATCTCCTGTGTGGACTTCTCCTTGTACGCCAAGACGATTGGGCGATTGTTTCATCAGTGCCCCGTCGAGTCCCACGCAGTTGTTCAATCAATATGATGGGGAGAGCAGCATGAGAAGCAATCGTTTGGCGATTCCTTTCGATTGGGAAGAGAAACCAGGTACACCAAAGTCACCAAGAACAACGACGAGAAACCATGGTGATGATGAAGGAGATGGTTTCACTTTTGATTTCAGTGTTGACTTGGAGAAAACATCTCGGCCAGCTGAAGAACTCTTCGATGGTGGTAAAATCAAGCCATTGAAGCCTCCACCTCGGTTAAAGGTCGATGATTTTAACCAGAAAAGCCCGCGTTTCTTGTCGCCGAAATCGCCATTTTCTCAAGGCAAAAAACTCATCCGTGAAGCTTTTTCACCCAGAAAACAAAAGGTTGATCTTGACCGAGACCCTTTCGCAACTGCCATAGAAACCAGTCGAAACAATCGAGAGCATGGAAGAGGTAGAGAAAAGGTTCAAGATTTCACATTAAGGAATTCAAGCCGTCGAGCTACAAGATCGCTTTCTCCTTACAGAGTCTCCGAGTATCGATGGGAAGAAGAAGAGAGAAAAAAGAAACATGAACCCACAACTTCCTCAAAAGGGTCTTCCAGAAAATGGAGATTAAGAGATTTGCTGTTGTTTCGAAACGCTTCCGAGGGACGTGCAAGTGATAAGGATCCATTAAGGAAGTATTCAGCGAGTTTTTTCAAGAAACCTGAAGAGAACAAGAATTCAGGTGCATGTAGAAGAAAAGTGTCGGTTCATGAGCTACATTAAACAACGAAAATAGCAGTATCTGAGAACATGAAGAAGAAGAAAACTTTCTTTCCATACAAACAGGGTATTCTGGGAAGACTAGTAGCGTTCAATCCCCTTTCCAACGAATTCGGAAAATAATCTGTCAATCATCTCAAAATTAAGTCATTTCATATTTTTTTGCTGTAAAGATTATCCGTTTTGTTGTTCCCGTAAAGGTGCAGAATTCATACGAGGAATTAGATTGTTCATGTTAGTTTAAAACTGTGCTGGTATTCATCACTAGTGCGAAATTATTTATGTATTGATATTTCTGTTTAATTTTAAAAATGTATCTGTGTCTATATTTATGAAGATTATGAAAGATTACCTGACACTATGAAAAAAATAATATAATTCTTGAAATATAATATTTTCAGAGATTTTTAGAGATATCAATCATCTTTTTATCATTGAGATAGGTTGGTTCGTATTATTTTAAGATTCCTTCTAAAAATATAATTCTTGAAATATAATGTTATCTTATACATTGTTTAAATATATTAAATATTAAAACATATTTAAATTATATATATATAACTCTATTTAATTATTAAACTAATATATTAAAATAAAATTATTTAATAAATTTACCTTAATTTATCAGCTATATAGTCAGAAAATGTACAACAAATTGACTAATACGAAGAAAACTATCATTTCAATGATAAGTTTGTCCAAAATAACATAAATTGTCGAATACATAAGAAATAAGTAACACTAAAATTTTCGGAATCTATTATTTGGTTTTCATATACAATATTTTCCTTAATTTTCAAAATGTACTATTTAAAGGATATAAAACAATTACTATATTTTATATTACATTAGAAAATTATATTAGAGATTACAAGTCTATTCCGTGTATAATTCTCGTATCTTTCTTTATTTGGTATAAGACGCTTAACCGTCCCTGAATGACGACCATTAGTCCCAAGTCCCAACTACCAATAAGTTATTATTAAATTTTTTTTAAATAATTACAAGATAATATATATTTATAATTTTTTCAATCGTTAATAAAACGTCTTATATACATAACTGTTTAAACTTAAAATTTCAATAAAAATAACACTCGTCATCCATCGTGACTTAGATGACAATGAAAATGTCAAGTTCCAGAAGTGGGAAATCATTGCATCGACGGTAGACAGATGTCTTAATGCTAACCCACTGACCAAAATTAATATATCAATCGGAAAGAAGAAATAAAATAGGCAGAAAATTAGCCATGAGTTCCTCGCTTAATAAAAGGTGGCAATGTACAATCGATGTGTCGATCCGATACAACATAGAGGACACGCGATGCATGTTGATGATGAGGAGATGATGCATGCAATATGAAAGCATTAAGCAAGCTTCACTTCAATCAGATTCGTGTCGGCAAGGGTTGTTGATTTAGGTAGTTTACATAAATACGAGCAGCACCGGCATCTATTTTTGGAATTTGACTTCTGCCCAATATCACTGCATTCATGCCTAGAGGACCCGAACCCCTGGCATGTGTCACGCGAACGATTGATAGCCAACAAAAATATATCTGAATGAATGCCTTTCTATGAAATTGAAAACAAGTATCCCCTTATTAGCAGTCGTATTAGAGATCAGTGTTCGATTGAGTCGAGTAAAACAAATTTAAGTTATTCAAGTCAGTGAATCTTATTTTATAATTCCAAATTGAAAATTTTAAATCGAGTAAGTTTATAAAATTTCAACTCGAAGTCAATCTGAGTTGAGTTTTTTCAAGTCAAGTCAAATAAAAAAAATCAATTTTTTAAGTCGAGGAGAATTTTTTACAGAATAAATGATTTATCATAGTTATTGATAGTCCTTCAAATTTAGATAGAGAATAACAGCAAATTAAAAAACAGTCATTGAATGATATTAAAATTGTTTGTCTAAGAAGATAAAAGAAAAAACGAGTGAGTTCAATTCTTTTTTTCAATCTTGATCAACAAATATTATAATGGCTCTTGGAGTTACAATAAGCGTAATATTATTATGATTATCTGTAGATTAGCAAGTTAAGTAGATATGATAAGTTGACAATAAATTTGATTATGTTAGATTATGTGCATCTTTCAAAGGTCATTTTAATGAGTCATGGCTTATCGAGAGATGTTGGACATTTGAGGTCCTTCTTTTAGAGACGTACTCTTCACGTCTTTAGAGTTCTCAAGGCATAGAAAGGGTGGAGATTTAGAGATATTTCTTGATTGAGGAAGGATTTTTCGGAATAGGGGTGTTTATTGTTCGATTTTAATAGAATTATTTAGTCAAATTGAAGTTTAGTTTAGTTAATCGGTTGGGGTAATTAGATATTAGATCAATTAACAGTTAATTTTTTAAAATTTTTAATTTTTTTATTAATTCGATTAGAAATTGTTTAATTAATCAAAAAATTAAATATTTAATATTAACTAAATATTTCGGATAATTAGATGTTAAGCAAACACAACATATCAGTTATGATGGAACGCGAACGTTTAGATCAGTTTTTGAGGAGAGTAACTAAAACCACACCCTCCGAAACTGCTTGAGCATTTGTGCAGAAGAATGAGAGATGTTCAATTGTTTCTTCTGCCCCCCGTACAAAAGTGGTGAAGTTCCGCCTTATCTTTGTTAAGCCATACCGATCTTCAACTTTCCAATAGGCCAAAGACAGGTTTCAAAACCATTGACCACACACACACACAAATGAAATTATTCAAAACCCGTAAGCCATAATATCAAACCTAAGATTGTTTTTCTGCTCAAAGTCTATAAATCGTTGTAATCTACAAAGGTCCAAATGTTGACAAGGTCTTGAAAGGATTTAGTTGAGAGTTTGACAGAGAATGAGAAGAGAGCATTTCAATTATGTGCAAGGTTTTCTTTTATTTTTGAGTTGTTATGTATCTTAAATCGACTTTGGATCATTAACAACGTTGTTAATTGGAAAAGTGAAATTTTAACAACTGTAGACGGTTCATTTTTTCTTATTTGGGTGGAGAGCTGTAATTAGTGATTACCCTAAAGAAAAAAAGAGAAAAACAGTGGTGAATTAAGGAAGATGATGAATAGTGATAAACTCAGGGAGAGAGCTCGACTAACTTCTTAATCTTGCATGAGAGTTTATATATTGATCTTTTAGGGTCAAACTTGGAGTTATAACAGAATAAATAAATATAACATGTTTATCGTTAGATTTAACTTTGAAAGATTTAGTGGACTTGTCAGTAAAAACATCAAAAGATTATAAAGAACTTGAAACTATAGATCTCTGAAAACTACAGTCATCGGAAGAGTGATCATAGAATTGTGCACTCTCACAAGTCTCTAATAAGATACAGCAACTCTTAAAAGGGGTTGAGGCCTTGTAAAGGATGAATGGGCTCGAATGATGTGGAGCTTCAAAGGTTTTAATATTCTATGTGGGTCTGTCTCCCTCTTAATAGGGAAGGAACTCGTATTCTTTCCCAAGTCTTTCTGGACTGGACTCCCTCTTCCGGCTAATTTTGCTTATCCATGTATCATGTGGGTTCTACTAATAAGACCTGGTACAATTTAACTCCAATTGGGTTCTTCTAAATACTAATAGACCCGACAAGAAGCTAAGTAGTTTAAATTTTTAACCTCTCTAATTACGTTGAAAAAAATATAAATTAGGTTCTACTTTTTTCTTTTTATAAATTATATATATTAAATCATGTAATCGACTTTGATCAATAATTTTAAAATTTTAATCATTTTTTTATCATGTGATACATTCAAGTTTTGTCGCATGACATTTGTATTATTTTAAGTATTATTTTATAAAAGATCATTAAATTTTTTAAAAATTATAACAAAATATTTTATAAATTATAAAATATTTACGACATAAACCCTAAATCTTACCATAAACCATAAATAATTAAACCCTAAATCATACAACACTAAAATCATAAACCTTAAATTCTAAACTTTAAATCTCAAGATACTAACCGCTAAACCTTAAAACCTAGACCCTAGACCCTAGACCCTAACATCTTAAACACTACACCATAAAACTTACACTCTAAAATCATGAACCCTAAACTCTATATCTTAGGCCCTAAAACCCTAATCAACGACCCTAAAAATATAAACCATAAGACTCTAACCCTAAAACCTTGAACCCTTAAATTTCAAATCATAAACCCTAAAACCATTCCCCTTCTATTGTCTCGATTGAGCCTCGACTCGATAAAGTATAAAGAGGTTTTTAATGAGGTTCTATTTACCTTTCAAAAAACTAAAAACACTAAGCCATAAAATCTAAAACACTAAATCTTAAACCTTAGACCCTAAATATTAAAATATGAACATTAAAACCTTAAACCCTAAAACATAAACCATAAACCATAAAACTTTAAATCCTAAATTATAAACCCTAAACCTCAAACTTGAATAACTCAAATTTTTTAATAGTTAGTGGATTGATTTTTCGAATTCCAGTCGAGTTCTTCAATTATGCATGATATATGTATATCACATATGCAAAAATATGAAGAAATATATATGTATGTCGTATATTATTATAAAAAAATATTTAAATTGGAAGCAAATAGTATCATAATATTATAAGAATTTATAATAAATTTAAACATAAAATCAAACAACTCGACTCGAATTTCATAAACTCGACTTAACTAAAAAATAAAGTTTAAGTTATAAAATAAGACTTTTCAACTCAAATAACTTAAATTTTTTTAACTTGACTCGACTTGACTCAATTAAATAGTCACTCTTAAATACAATAACATATATTAAACCAAACGATTTATGATTTTAATATTTTGTCCATATTTCTACATCCTTGAAAGATGTAAATGTGAATTTACCCATAACAATCCTGGCTGGATATGTACATATTTTAAAATTTAAAATTTTAATTAATTAATTATTTTATTTATATTATTCATTTTAATTAATTACATAACTAAATCGATCAAAACTATAATTTATATTTCTTTTTAATGAAATAGTAAGTATACAAGCATTTGTAGGTATATGCAGTTTTGCAAGTATGATGGCTTTGATATCAATCAGTCGTATCAATGTACAACTTAAAGGCTGCTTAAACACCCTCTCATTCTTCACGGCTTTTCACCCGTATAAACG